AATTGAAACTGATAATCTAGATAATTTAGATAAGAACCACCCTTCCTCCTGAAAATTAACATTAAAATTTAAAGGCCAAATCTGATTTGTCCACCCCCTAAAGTACTGCTCCAGATTTTAACTATGATTTATATTGTAGCATGGGTTGGTATATTCCATACAGTCCATGGAAAATAGCCTATTCAAATCCACCATGAATATTAAATTTACTCTTTCAACTGGAATCTGGATAATCCCAATTCTCTTAAATGTAATAACACAGACTAGGAACTGCATTATCATGAAGGCAGATACAACCTTAAGTTTTAGGCAATAAAAATGGCCAACAGAATTTTGAGAGAGGGGACAAGCCTGACGTAGGGACAAAAATTATTTCCACAGTTACAACTTAAATGTGTTTCAGACATCTGATCCATTAGAATAACAGTCAGAGGAAGAATAAGAAAAAAAGACATTCCCCTAGCAAAGTATGAGAGGCTCTTTCAAACATTACTAAAATATAAGACTCAAATTGTTAATTTGTAACTCAAAGGAAAAATCTAATTAAAACAATAGAAGTAATGAGAGAAGAGTTTAAGTATAGTATTACTCTTCAAATATATAGGAATTAATGGAAGGTATAAATACAAATGTGTATGTTTTCATTTTCAAAGTGTCATGTTTTCAAGATTTCTTTGTTAAATATGGGCTTTCTCAATTTACAGCAGAAAACACTGCAGTAATTGGCATGACCAGGGTACAGTTGGCTCAGTACTTTGTACTCAGTAATGTTTACAGCAAGAACTTCTTCCACTTTGAAAACTATCCCTAAAAAGGAATTCTCTTTGAAGACTAAAGGAATTTAATTAAAGATAAAGCCACTTGGGTGGCCACATAATACATCAAACAGATCATACTTCAAGCAGAATTATTACTATTCAGTTATAAGTGCATGACTCACAGGAATATAAATGAACAGTTGTTTTTTTGTGTGTGTACATCTGCTTGGATCCAGAAATGTACATTTGAAGTATACTATATTTGCTCCAATTTAATTTCATGTTGTTAAACACTGATTAATGGTCTACACAACAATTTTTTTTAAAAATTACTTCGAAAAACATGCTTGAGAATTCTTGGTCTTATAGGACCGAAACCAGATAATAAATACAAAGCTCATTACAAATATTAACAAAACCTCAATATTATAAATGAATGCATTTTCTCTCAGTTCTGCAATAGAGAACTGTCACATCCATACAGAAATAAAATGTGCTTCCAAAACCTAAACATATTACCAAGTATTAAAGACTTTCATTATTGTCTTCAGATTTTCATTATAGACTGTCCACAGGCAAGTACAATATTACCATTTTTATTAACATTTGCTGGTTATTTATCCTACATACAATATGGAGCCCAATTCACTGAAATCTCTCTTAAGACAAAATTTAAAAGGAAAAACAAATAGAAATCTTGTGGAAATGATACACCTTCCTCGCCTTCTGAAATTGAATATAGAGAAAGTAATGTAAGATTGTACTGGCGATCCAGTCCTCCTTATGTACAGTGTTCCCTTTTAGTCCCACAATGCAGTCAGGACTTTTAGGATAGAGGTATAAGATGATATGCTTTAAAGTCAGTAAATGGGGATGCCTGGGTGGCTCAGTTGGTTAAGCAGCTGCCTTCGGCTCAGATCATGATCCCAGCGTCCTGGGATCGAGTCCCACATCGGGCTCCTTGCTCTGCAGGGAGCCTGCTTCTCCCTCTGCCTCTGCCTGCCATTCTGTCTGCCTGTGCTCGCTCTCTCTCTCTCTCATAAATAAATAAAATCTTTAAAAAAATAAAAATTTAAAAAAAAATAAAGTCCGTAAATGTGTTGCAAATTCCCTATGACCTGTCACTCTCTTGCAACAAGACCCACTCCTTGAAGTTTATAACCTGTGAAACCCAACTGGTAAACAATCCTTAACACAATTCTAAACCCGAAAAAAAAAAGCTTTCTGCCTCCTTTACAATCTAAAACTGTACAGACTAATACAAAAGGACATGAAAGGAAAATAACTGAATAAATGAAAATAAAAATTACAGATGACATACAAAGTTTACATGGTTAAGTTAAAGGCAGTAAAAGATATTATAGGCAGTAATAGGTGGACTGTCAGGAACAATGTAAATAATAAAACAAAGGAACTTTAGACAGGTTTTTAAAAAATTACACAGAAAAGGCTACACGTGAAACTAGAATGATAAGAGTGAAATCTGTAAGTGAAATTCCATACAAGATAGATAAATGAAGAAAAGAAATGAAATAGTTTATCATGACAAATGGCATAAAAAACTGGATAAAACTCTTGGATAATGCAGCAGGTGAACATGAGAAGTCACCAGACCTTTTAGTAGACAACTGTGAGATCCGTGAAGCCCCTATCTGAACTGAAGGCAGAAGTGCTCAAAGTAATGAATCAATAAAGGTATACTGCCAACAACGTACTGGTAAACCGAGTAAGACAAAAAAGCAAGACAGCACTTCCTGATCTTCCAGAGGTCAAAAGGGTAAATATTAATAAGCCAACTGGCAAGTATTCATTGAGCACCCACTTTGTGATTTGCAACATGTCATATACGAAATATATTCTTCTCCTTGAAGCAGCTTACAGTAAATTAAGAAAATAGATATATCACAGACATAAGTGGAAAAATTTTAATGCAAATTAAAGCAAGGTTTTCTCTTTCAATACTAACACTAGATGATGAACAAGGACATAATGTGAGCCTGGCTCATATACGAGTATGAATTCATACAACATTCTGAAAGGTAGTTTGATTATGTTCAAGAGCCTTAAACACACACACAATCCCAGACTCTAACCTAGTAATTTCTTTTAGATTTTGACCTAGTAATTTCTTTTACAAATCTAAGGGGAAAAAAAAATCTCTAAGATTTATGTAAAAAGCAATTCTCTGTCATGAAGTTTATATATTAGCAAAACATCAAAAACATCCCAAACATCTACCAATAGGAAAAATTTAAAATATATTTACATGATACAAGTTTAAGCAAATATAATTTTTCAAAGATTAATGACATGGGAACGTTTATGAGGTAGAATTAAATGAAAATATAACACATGAACCCCGTTATAGGAAAAATTCACAAATACACATAAATATTTAGAAATGCAAACTGTATTGTTATTTGCACTCATCTTTATTTTCCAAATTATTTTTAGATTATTCAAGAAAATAAGCAATTGTTATTTGAAAGTCATATATTATATACACGCAAAAGATAAATGTAAAAAATAAATGTGATATAATTGGGCTGGAGTAAGAAAAATTTCATCTAAAAACAGTCTAGAAGCACTGGGGAAGAGAAGTAATGATAATCTATCTACAAATAAATGATGGCAACCTTGACACTGATCTGAATAACTAGGTGAAAACTGAGAATCAAAGATAATAGTCACTACAATAGATTTTGAAGATATTCAAATATATCCTATTTCATGATTCACTCAGTTTATACTCTTCCAGGATGCTGGATTATTTTTAAAAAATTACTGACTTTTACTATAAACCCTGTCGCTTAGCAATTTCTGTATTTTTGCAGTGTTGGTAAAAATTGTAAACTACTTTTACTAACACAAGGTATTTAATTCTCATAACAATCTCTTAAAGCAGGGACAGTATTATGAAACTATTTACAAGACGAAACAAACATCGAGAAAAGAGGGGTTGTGACTTGCCCAAGGAAACGGCCAGTTGAGAAATGGAAACAGTAGAAACCACTCAAAGCTAAACCTCTTTTTCAAGCACTCTACATTCCAGAACACCAGGTTTTTCTCCAAGAGTGAATTATTTTTAAAGCCACTTTCTCCTAGTCAAAAACACTGTCAGTTTTGTCTGTATTGGTAAACATATCACAAAGGTTTAGTTGGTAACAAAACTGCCCCATCCTGTATTTTAAAAACATTCCTACAGAATCAAACTCAGCGCGAAGTTAAGCCAGCTGAGTAAGACGAAAGAAGTTACGGTTTTAAATCTCATCAGCTGACTAGAGTTTGGGGAATCAAAAAGGAATGTGCTTCCCACAGTTTAAAAAAAAAAAAAAAAAATCAATCTCCAACACCCCCAGCCCCCAGCCCCCAGCCCCCAGCGCCGCAGCTCACAGCTGATCGGAGGTAAAGGGTGGAGTGGATCTGCGCAGCAGAGCCGGCAGGGAACCAACCAAAAACTAATCCTTTCAAAGTGAAGGACAAGAAGGTCCATCCCAGTGTCTCCCTTCTTGGATGTAAAGCTAACCTCTTCCTTTCTTTAATGACCAGAAAACACCCTTCTGTTTCTTGCTACTAATCAGCACACATCCTCAAATTTTCCTGCAGCGTCGGTCCCTTCAGAATCCCAAGAAGAGACACAAACTTGGAAACACCATTCCTTATTCTCTAGACTCCTCTCCACCCCATCTAATTCTGAAAACCGAAACAACGTTGCCGGAAATAAAGTATAAAATAAAGAAAACAAGGGTCGCATCCAACACAGACGCCTCCGCTTCAGAGCTTCCCCAAAACAGCAGACACCACAACCGCACCCGAGGAGGTGCGGCCGCTAAAACAAGGGGCGGGCCCAGCAGACCACGTGTTCTGCCGTCTGCGCACGCGCCAGCCAAAACAAAAGGGAGGCCTGCCAAGCCCCTCCCCTGACTCCACGTGACCACTCCTAGGTCCGCCCCCACCCCTCCCTCCACTCCTCCTCTCCCCTCCCCTCAGCTTCTGCCAAGGCTGTTAGGTTTAGCCGTTTAAATTTGGCTGCCGTCCGACCCCTGCCCTAGAGCGCGATCCGGTGCCGGGACCCAGAGTCCAACAGCCCACAGGATTCGGGAGGCGAAGGGGCTGCCGTTCGGCTGCCTGGCCCGCAAGTCCACCCGGCGGTCTTTTCCGCTCTCCCCTCCCCGCCCGCCGCCGTCCCCGGCAGAGGAGACCCACCCCCCTCAGCCCGCCGCTGAGACGCCGGCCACTCGCCTGCTGGGGCGCCCTGGCTCCCCTCCGCCGCCGCACCTTCGGTCCGGCCGTGGTGGGGGCTGCTGAGGTGATCTCTAGCTGCCCGCCCGCCTCCCCCCACCCGGGGCGCCGCTGACTCGTCTCCAGAGCGCGCCCCGCTCCCGCCCCGGCCGCCGCCGCGGTTTAACAGTCCGCCCGCTGCCCGCAGCTCCGGGCGGCTCGGGGACGGAACCCTGCCGTGGTGGAGGGGCAGTGGGCGGGGCGCAACGCCAGCCAATGGCAGCGGGGGAGGGGAAGCGCCATGCAAATGAGCGCGGGTGGCGGGGAAACCCCGGCAGGGGGCGGGGCCTGCAGCAGCGGCTGAGAGCGTTCTGGAAGTGGCTGGAGCACGACACCCGAACCCTGCTGCAGAGGCTCGGCGGCTCCCTGGGGGTGGGTTCTTGGTCGTTCTCGCTTCCTCCCTACCTCTTCCCTCGCGAGCGGGAGGCGCGCGCGCGGGCGCGCGTACACACACGCACACACACCACCCCCTCCCCAAAATTACGGGCGCGCGTACACACACACACACCACCCCACCCCCACCCCCCAAAATACGGGCGGGTGACTTCCCGCCCTTGCTTTGCTATTTCTGTACTACCGTGACAGGAAAAGCAAAGAGAGGGGAAAGTCGGGCTGCATTACGCCCTACCGCCCGCCCTCGGGCTGAGCGGGCTCCTGGTGTCCAGTCCCTCCCTGCGGCTCGAGGGGCAAGTTTTAACAAAGCTTTGTCACAGTTTCCAAATCTGTACTTCTCTGTGGGTTTGCTTGTATGTGTGCTCCGCGCTCAAATCCAGAGCCATAATTCTGTACGACCCCCGAGAGGCTCTAAAGTAGGGTGACAAATCTGCTTTGGATCCGGCTGGGTCGTTTTATGGTAAAAATCAGGAGCCGCCTGCTCAAGCATTTTTAAATCTGTGCAAAGCTGGTTTGAGTGGCGTTGGAGTTAACTCTGTTCTGCAGTAGCGCAGTCAAATAAACGGGGTTTTGTGCGGAGATAGTTGGCCAGGGACACATAAAAACATTTCTGAGAGTCTTGCACCTGGCTCCACTCACCACTAAACTACACCCGGGCATTTCCCCAGCCACGCTCTCTCGCTCTCTCTCTCTCTTTTAAATAAACTGAGCACTAAATATAGCTCTTTAGATGATGTACTACAGGCTTTCTTAAGAACCTAATTTACACATGAAATGATTTAGGGAATAAAGCGCGCTCGAATTTTAGATCCAAAAAGACAATTGCCATTATTTCAACCTTATTAATTGAAGGAGATCGGATCGTCGGGGTAGGCAGGCGGGGGAATCCTAGGAATTGGAGTTAAAACAAACCATAAGGCATGACACGGATTACTGAAATTAGAAAATAACCGCCTGTTCCTGGTTTTTCTAGTGCATTAGGACATTACTGCAATAACTTTATGACAGGTTACATTTATAGCAGAGAATACTTTCTGAAGATTGCTCAGAACAATAATTGCACATTCATATGGAGTAAGGGAAGAGTTTCAGGAAACTGATTCACCTTCCTTGGAATAAAATTTGTAAGCAAATGATGTGTAAATAGTTAAATCAGCAAATATTTACTGGATATTCACTATATTCAAGGTTGTCCCTGCCCCTGGGGACAGAAATGCAAAAATGAGTAAGATATTTTAAAAAAAAATTTTTTTTAAGATTAACAGTCTGAGAAGTCAAATCAGGATTGAGATAGTTCTAAGGAAGGCTTTTTTATTTCAGCTGGGTGTTTTTAAAGACTTTGGACAGAGAAGAAAGAAGGCATCAATCAGGAGATAGTATTTTTTTGAATTTGAGTAGAGGTTGTGTTAATGATATTACTGGGCTGGAAAAGTACATGTCAGCTAGATTGAGTAAATCTTGAATAACAGGAATTCAGATTTTAACCTGAAGGAATTGTAGTGCCATCAAATTACTGGAGGATACAATTTTCTTCTGTGAAATAATTATCAGTTACTAAAACAAAATATTCATATACTTACCAAATATTTATTGCACACATGATTTGTGATGGGTATTGGAGTTATGGCCATAAACAAGTTTCCTGCCCTGGTGTTATTTGTAGAAGGTACAGGCATTGAGCTTTGTAATTGCACAAGTATAATTCAGGAAGCATTTTTACACACATTATCTAGTTTGTTCACCAAACAGCCTTAGGAAGACACCTGGGTGGTTCAGTCGATTAAGCGTCTGCCTTTGGCTCAGGTCAAGATTCCTGGTCCTGGGACTGAGCCCTGCATCAGGCTCCCTGCTTAGCTTCTCCCTCTCCCTCTGTAGCCATCATAGAAACATAATTTTCTCATTTCTTTTATATTGTTTTTGATACTTTAAAAATAATAGAGGGACGCCTGGGTGGCTCAGTTGGTTGGACGACTGCCTTCAGCTCAGGTCATGATCCTGGTGTCCCGGGATCGAGTCCCACATCGGGCTCCCAGCTCCATGGGAAGTCTGCTTCTCCCTTTGACCTTCTCCTCGCTCATGCTCTCTCTCACTGTCTTGCTCTCAAATAAATAAATAAAAATCTTTAAAAAAAAAAAATAATAGAAACTTGGGGAATAGGAAATAATTAATAATATAGGCTTGGTTTTAAAAATGTAGAAAAGCCCAAAGAAGAAAAGCACTATCTTTTATATGTATGAGATGACACTGCACAATTTTTTTTACTCCAATTAACCAAATACTAAGCACATTATTTCTTGACATTGAACATTACCCTAAATATTTTAATATTTGTAGCATATGTATGCTGGTTTTCCAGATATTGTAGAATATCAATGCTCCTTAATATGAAATTGACATACTGAACCATTTGTTAAATTGTTTTCCATATTACTTATTCAGCAAAAGCCTGGAAAAAATGCACATAGTTAATTTTTTTGATCAAGGGTATATTATTATGAAGAGGGTACATTAAAGGCATTCTGACTTCTAAGAAAAAATATAACAATGGCCAGGAGACTTACAGAACCAGTAAGAACAAGGAGAAGGGAAGGGCACCATTCTTGCTGACATAATTATTACCTGTCTAGAAGCACATAAATGTGTCCAGGTAAGCAGTATTACAGTGATTTCATGAGATAAGCTTCTCTCCTCAACACTGGTTTTTATTCAGTAACTCTTTTCATTCAAGAAACATGTGTGCAGCACTTAATATACAGCTTACATTATGATAAATGCTAGTGATACAGGAAAAAGATCATATTCTACTCTTAAGCAGCTCACAGCCTAGCAGTAACAAACACATCCTTTTCTATCTCCCTTCCCTGTTCTGTTTTTCTCCGTGGTACTTACCACCATCTAACAACACAGATTTTTATTCTTTTGTTTTTTGTTATTTTATCTCCCGTGGTAGAATGTGAACTCCATGAGGTCAGGAACTTCTGCTATTTTGCTCACTGCTATATCCCCAGAACCAAGGACAGGGCCTGGCACATGTATACTTCCAAAACATATTTGTTGAGGGCAGGCATGCATTTAATTCTCACATTTTGCAAAATGGGTTTTACATTCATTTTCCAGGTTAGAAAAGAAAGACAACTCAGTGAGGTTAAATAATATATCCAAATTCTCACACTAATAAAGTGTGGCTAATATGGGATTTGAAGACAGACATACCCTCTCCAGAGGCAGAGATTTTTCCCCACCACCTTTCCTAGAATAGAAAACTGGTTTGGAAGTCTGTACCATTTACTCCTCAAATTTCCATGCCCAGGGCAACTGTCCTCCACTTTTATATTCTAGTATATTTCTTTCTTTTTATAGTCATGTTTGGAAAGTGGGACCGGAGAAGTAGCAAGGCTAAAAAAGGTGATAACTCCTATTCAAGATAGATTTAGCTCTAACTAGCCAGTGTCAACAGTCAAGCAAAGAGCAGGGGTGGGTAGCAAGAGCTATAAGATTCTTAGAACCAAGGCAGGATACAAGAGTGGTCAGACCTGGCCCATGCCTGAAGAGGAATAAAAAATTACTCCTAATGTATATGAATATCAATAGCACCTTTTTTCACAATAGCCCCAAACTAGAGACAACCCTAGGATCCACCATACAGTAAAAAGATAAATGGTGGGACAATCCATATAATGAAATAACTGCTCAGCAATAAAAAAGAAAAAAATTATTGATACACAGAACAATGTAGATAAGTCTGAAACAGTATGCTGAGTGATTTATAAGACTCAAAAGACTAAATATTACATGACTCCACTTATATAAAGTTCTAGAAAATTTGAATTTAAAATATCATCACAGAAAGCAGTTGCTTAGGCCTGGGACAGGAGGAATTTACCGGGATAAATATAAGGGATGTTGGAAAAACTACATCTTGATCATTGCAGAAGTTAAATGGGTTCATACATTTGTCAAAACATATACTTAAACATACTTAAAACAGATACATGCCAATGTGTGAGAATTATACTTCAGTAAAATTTATTTTTAAAACAAGGGCTCTGATGAAAGTTGACTCAGGAATTTCAAGGAGCATTTTTTTTTAACTTGTACTGAAATATAGTTTAATGGGATTTAATTTAAAAGACATTCTAGAAAGTGTCCATAAGCTTCATAAAATTGCCAGGAGTTCATGGCAGAAAAAAGATCATGTCTGCCTTTATCTGGCATGTTCCAGACAGGGGCTGCTCCACCAGCAGGAGTGGTGACTGACTGGAGGACACTGGGAAGGACTGAGCCATCTTCATTTGTCCCAGAGATGGACACTGTTCTCACAGCCTAATTTACACTTTCTCCATCTGCCGTGTGTATTCTCAGATGGCGGTCCAAAATGTAGACAGAAAAATTAAAAACCAGTCTATCTTAGCTAGGATGCAGATAATCCATATGAAATGTATCCAAAAGCCCAAAATAATGATACCTTAAAAATACAAGGGTTGGGACACCCGGGTGGCTCAGTCAGTTAAGCACCTGCCTTCGGTTCAGGTCATGATCCCAGGGTCCTGTGATCAAGTCCCACATGCGCACTCTCTGACAAATAAATAAATAAAATCTTAAAAGAAAATACAAAGGTTAATTATCTCTCTCATAAAATATATTGTTGATTCTGAAACATATTTTATTTTTTTAGAATTTATCATTTCTAAAATCAAAATGACCTTGGTACTGATGCAAGAAGAAATCATTTTATCAGTC